GTTTATTACTTTGTATTTATTTTTACATATAGTTTTTCTTTTATAAGGAGTTAAGACTAACCTAAATTTCCTAAGCTGGTCTAACCCAATGTGATATTACTGGGATTATGGCCGAAAATATCTATAATAATGAGGGTACCCAACTGATGAATCAATGCATTCTAACTAATAAAAGTTTTTGTTGTATGACCTACGTTATATAGTTAGCTACATTAGTTATGTGCTTAATAGTTGTTCTACTCTATATAATTTTTTTTTTAACAGAAGTTATTGATAACTGGATTTCATTAATTTATTATGTGACAAATTTGAAAGAATTTGCGTTTGTACTTGTTCATGGGCGTTCCATGTTAGTGATACACTACGAAAAAAACTTGTAAAATCTTAAATTTATGACTGTCAAAATTATTAAAATTGACTTGTTAAAGTAATTATTTCGCTACAGAAAGTACAATAAGTTATTTAGAATATTCATAGCATTAACGCAGGTTATCAGTTGTGTATGCCATTAATCACATTAAGTATGGTTCTACGTCACAAACCTCACTTTTTATATTAATTATTATATTGTCCTTGAAACAAAACTATTTTATTTTGGTTTATTAAACTTATTGTAAATAAATATTTCACACAACAAACAAACCTTGATTAGCTTCAACCAAATTTATTACATTAGAACCGTATACAAAAAGTATAATAGACACAATAACTAAATGTGCAAAAATATATAAGTGTTATGAGAAAACTAGAATCGACTTTTAGTGAACATAATTTTTTGCTCATCTATGTATTATGCTATTAATTTTGAAGTAAGTGTAAATAATCACAAAATTAACAGAAGACAAATATTATAATTTTTTGTTTTAAAATAAATCTCATCGCTTTATACTTCAAAATTATATTTTCAACTTAAATATAAGACATAAAGTTTCCGTAATTCAAACACACACACACAAATACAGAATAAAAGTTATATGGAGAATGAATGAAGAGGCAGTAAAGGACGTGGAAACTACAGATAGCATCTATAAAGGTGAAATATACATATTAAGAACAGGCCTTGAAACCGCAACCTTAAGCCTGATAGCTTACCAAAGAGGTCAGCTGTGGATAGAAAGAAAACATTTTGAACCAAGGACACTCACATATACACGGAGTAATGCTTATTGTAGAGAATGTCTGATTCAATTAATGTGCACAAATAGAATGTTTCAGTGTGCGGATAGTCCATTCTAATCTTCTAATGTTGTTCCTATGGCCGAGGTGGGTCAGTTGCATACGTAAGTTCATTCAGATAATACCAGTTGGGGGCATCGGCGCAGTTTACACTGTAGCTCCAGTCGCATATCCTGAACTCCTGATTGAACATTGTCTCGTTGGGACATATATACGGCACCCTGCGGCCGTAAGCATCACACATGTGAAAGATCTTGCAGTCGAATTCCAGATCAGCGTAGAACCCAACTGCCCGAGTATTACAATCAAAGGTAAACTCCACATCTGGAAACTCCTCCCATCGTTTAACCTGGGTGAAAAAAGGTGATCTTACTCATTATTGGTTTTGGTTTTGTTTTCGTAAGCATACGTAACTGATGTTTCTAAATCGTTACAGCTGAACGGTATCAATAATTGAGTGATGTACTCAAGGAACTTAATTAAGCTATATCAGCAAAGATTATGCAACAAAATCATCCCCCCCGGGGGACTATTTTACGACAAGAGTAATATTTATGATGATTTGTGACGGGTTTATTAGTTTTAGAATTTCTGCGCACAACTACACAAGTTTTGAACTATAGGCTAGAGAGAAAGCAGTTAGTCAACAGCACTCATCGTCAATTCTTGGGCTACTCTTGTTTGAATGACTAGTGAGATTTGACTGTTACTCTTCTAGCGCACTAACGACCCAAAAAATACAGAACGGACCATGAATCCTTGGATTCACAATCCTGGCACATTAATCACTGGACCTCGCCCGCCCTCTTTGTTACAGGAATTTGTTCGAGTTCCAAATATATTGAATATAAACGAAATTTCGTCTTGCCTTTTTTTTTCTTCATCAGAAATGGTGTTTTGTCTTTGTTATTCTCATATTTTTTTTGCAATTGGAATATCATGCCTATACTCTAGAAGTAGGGCTTCAGGATAGAAATGTTTAACAAGAGTTGACATAATCTAAGATCTTTTTGTTTTTGCACCTTCCCGAGGCGATAGGTAAATAAATAGGAGTGGATAAATACCTGAAAGAAACCTCTTTCAGAAACTGTTCTAGCTACGTAAAGATGTGTGATTATTCACACATAGATTGGCAATAAACACCTCGTTCCAATCTATTCGTTTGTATGTCAAACCTAATCATCTTTCTGGTGTACTGCTGCTCACGAATGTCGAGTTAGTCTCTTGGTTTCTAATAATGAACACCGGAAGTATAATTTCATATATTTCAATGACAATAAGGGTATATACATTTATATATTTACTTAAATATTCCATAACCAAGAGTAGCAATTAAAAAATATTTGTTTTCATTAGTTTTTTTTTTAAATAACTATACATTATTTCTAAGGACTGGTACAGAAAGATTCCAGGTCACCAAATAATTACCTACTTTTTATTTACTTTATTACTGAACGTTTGCATTTCAGTTCATAGTAATCTTGTGTGTAGATATTACTCAATTGCATTTTATTTATGACATAAAAAATTCACAGATAAAACACTTCGCATTAAACTTAGCTTAATACATTCATGGAAGTTAAATTATTTACCATGTCACTGTTTCCTCTTTTTTTTTTTGTTTACAATAAGGATTTTTCGAATGGTAAATAGACATACGTGGCTATAGTTGTGTGTCTGTTTGTTTTATAACAAAGCCACATTGGGCTAGCTGCTGTGTTAACCGCGAGGAATCGAACCCCGGATTTTAGCATCGTAATTCTGTAAATTTACCTCTTTCCCGCCGAGAAACTAGTGACTATAGCTTGACAATAGCCGTTATACATTCTTTTCACCTGCTATAAAAGTCACGATTAACTGACTACAGTACTCCAATTGCTCAATAATAATAATATTCTAAGCAAAGCAACTTGAAAATATGTGGGTATACATTACTATCCCTTTTCACTCAAACAAAATACCAGAACGCATTTTTTTTTTTTTACGGAATGTGATACCACGCAGAACTGGTGTATTTTTCAAGCATCTCTCAGAGATTTTGATGGGTTGGCTTACAGCTATATTTTTGGAAACATTAACTTAAAATTGAGGCCATGTTAGAGTGAAAAGCCATAACATCTAACTGACATACAAATGGTCTCATACAGACACATGGCAACTCTTATTTTGAGTGTCTATTCAGGTTACGTCAGATATCTTCTGTTGGAGTAAAGATGTTGCCCTTTTTTGATATCAAGACAAAACTCTTAATGCATGTGTTAGGTGCTATCAAGTAAGAACGCTTTATTTACTTATTCACGCAACTTTATAGACGTGCGAATTCTTTTTATTAAAACTTAAAGTATTTGTTAGATTAAAAGGTCAAAACGTCTACTTACTCGATGTAAAGCTTTACTGTAGACAGCCGCAATGACTGAAAAGTAAAAGGAAAAGAGAATTAGAAAGAAAATGGTAGAGTACAACAGGTTCTATAAGAAAATTAAACCATGCACAATTCGTCATTTTATCCTCCGTTATTGCTCAACATGATAAGCCATGTTATTCTAGGTTTGGAAAATTATTTCACTGAAAATTCACGGTAAATGAGTTTTGAATGTAAATGCACTCCAACTTAGTTAGAAACTAAACATTTTCCAACTGGCACAAATCAAATTTTAATATTTAGTTTTTATAATTTTCTAATTACTTCACAAACTGATAAAGTATCTAAGCGTGAATACAAACTATGTTGCTATTCGATAGCTTCAATAATTCACTCTACTTATTCTGAAATAATAATAACTGAATATATTAGTGGTTTGTTTGTAATTAAGTACAAAGCTACTCAATGGGCTATCTGTGCTCTGCCCACCACTGGCGGGCGAATATATTAAGAGAGACAACAAAGTTCTCCGCGAAAATGATTAGTAACTCTAGCGGATTAAAATGTATATAGTGATATAATCACATATCCCATAGCAATATTACCTCAGTATTTATGAGATACGTCATTGAAATAGTTTTATAGATAATTAACTGTTCCGTTTTGTTTAGGCTCGGAATAATTATAGAGTCATTACATTGTGGTTTACGATATTGTTATTTCGTGAATACTTTCAACAACTAAATGAAACATGCGAAATATTCACCAATCATATAAAAAATAGGCCTTATATGAATGAGATCTCATGGTGGAAAATATTGTATTAAAGGCTTTTAACAAATTTTGCGAAACTAAGATAGCTAAACTTTAAACAAAGAATTATTTTTTACTGAATAAAATACAAATACTCGACAGTTTACATGTGAACCTTCAACAGCTTATATGTACACCCTACCTCTCAAGTAAACAACAACGACGTTAATTACATGCTTTAATAGTTCCACCAAAACAACAAATTAGGGGTGATAAACTGGATAATGATCTTGTTAGACAGGTTCATTGGATATTGTCCTTCATGAGTCACTAGAAATCCACAATAAGTATATAGAGTTTGTTTGAGTGTTAAAGAGTTAATTAAATGACTCTAAGAAATGACTCTTTAGGGAAGTACAGTACTAATACAATAGATGGGAAGGTGAAGTACAAATACAGGAGATGGGGACGTGAAGCAATCACACAGAAGATAGGAAGGTGAAGTACAAATATAGTTGATAGGGACGTGAAGTACAAATACAGTTGATAGGGACGTGAAGTACTAATACAGTTGATAGGGACGTGAAGTACTAATAAAGGAGATAAAACTGTGAAGTATAAATACAGTTGATAGGGACGTGATATACAAATGCAAGAGATAGAGATGTGAAGTACTAATATAGGAGATAGGGACGTGAAGTACAACTACAGGAGATAGGGGCATGATTACTAACATAGGAAACAGGAACGAGAAATACTAATACAGGGGATAGGGACATAAAATACACAAGGAGATAGGATAAGAACGTGAAGTGCAAATACAGTTAATAGGGACGTGAAGAACAATACAGGTGATAGGGAAGTAAGTTACAAATACAGGAGGTAAGGACGTGAAATACTTATGCAGGAGATAGAGAAGTGATGTATTAATACAGGAGATAGGGTGTGAAGTACTAATATAGTGGATAGGAAGGTCAAGTACAAATACAGGAGATAGGGACGTGAAGTCCAAATATAGGAGATAGTGAAGTAAGTTACAAATACAGGAGGTAAGGACGTGAATTACTAATACAGGAGATAGAGAAGTGATGTACTAATACAGGAGATAGAGAAGTGATGTACTAATACAGGAGATAGACATAATAAGATGTACAATTACATTGTTTATATATTTTTGGGAAATATGTTTTGTTCGTTTTACAATCTTAAAGGTGTGATTTCTTACTCCTTTACCATCATGGTATTAGTGTCAAAACCATACCTTACGTTCTTAGTAAAAACTATGACATAATTATAACAAGTGTGAGAGTTCTATAAAGTGTTATTGCATTCATATAACAATTTAATAATTTGCTAATTAACTGTTCGGAAAGGAAAAATATTGAACAATTAGAATTTAAAACAACAACTACAACACATTTACTTTATAGTTCTCTAGAGATTTAGTGACTAGTTAGACATATCTGATAGATTTTCCTTTTGAAACAAAGTTAAACAGATTTCTGACAGTGATGATGGGTCATGTAACTTTTAAAAATCCACACCTTTCACGCATTTAGCAATTTTCAAAATTTTTGGTTTATATTGTAAAACTTTTTTCACTGGAACATAAAAATTTCGTCACCTCCCTAAAATGTTTTTGTTATAACTCACATTTATTATATTATTCTTAACAAGATTATAGTACACTTTACCTGCAAAGCACAAACCAATGAACGCTACGTGGCGCCACATGTCCAACTTCAGCTACTGGACTCCGGTCCTGATGCTTTAAAAAACGAAAACAACATGATGAGATATTAGGACTGTTACAATAGGTTGTATTATCTGCCAACCAAATCACGCCTGACCCATTTTCAGCAAAACCTGCTTAAGAGCAGTAGAAGCGGATGCATACAAGTACATCGTGTCGGAATACCTAACACAGCATGGCTGCTAGTAGCCTGATGTCGTGGGAGCCGACATACCAGGGAGTTAGGACCAGCGAGTAAATGGGTCGAAGTGTTGGATGTAGCCAGGACAATCAAGACCTATCTAGTTAAATTATAACGTAAAAGTTTTTGCAGTTACAAAAAGTATTTCACGTATTATAGAAAGACGTACTTTGACATTTCAGGAATTTTGGAGTCAGATGACATCAACTGACTGGAAGATTTACGAGTTTTAGTAGCTGAAATTAGTTTTTTTTTATTCTACGTGAAATAGAGTGATAACATTTCTTCCCCTTTGACTTATCGTTCGTACAAGCTTCTCGCGACTAGGCTTATTACGCTTGTTGAACATACTTGGTTTTATTTAATTGTTATAGATTGAAATTTTTGGACACACATTATATCCAGTACAAAAGCATTTGTTGAACCGATCAGCTTTGACCACGGTTGTTTACACTGTAAGCTTAAAGCCGAAAATTCAAGTCTTTCTTCAAATTAACATACCCTAACAAGACAGATTAATGTCACAGAAAGTAAGAAATTTAGCTTACGAATGGAAGATACATTCTCAAGTATACTAGGTGAAACTGTTACATATTCAATCATTACAATGAATTGGTTAAAAAATTTTGTGTTATCTAAGTAATTCGTTATTTTCTTTTTACCTTTGTTTATTTAAATTTTCTATACCAAACCTACAACACAATTAAAAAAGAAGAAAACAATAAATTCACATAGTGCCTTTTTTAGGATGAATAATTTCAAAATGTGTATAGTTTAACTTACTCTAAAATGACACGGACATTTTATGTTTTATTGAACGATTTTCTTATGGCACATTAGCAAAAAATAAAATTAAAAAACTATATAAACAAAGAAAAATAAGTTATAACAGATTTTAATGGTTACATAGATTTGTGTTTTTGTAACTGATTTTAAAATCCCAAGGAAACATTTTAAAATACATCATTAGATTGGGAAAATTAAATTTTATAATTATTATCATTAACGATATAAGGATCATTATAAAAATACCAATAAAAATTAGTAATTATTGTTTTTCTAAACAGATATACTTTATGCTTTATAACGTGGAGATTGATCTATGAAATTGGTCAATATAAAAATATAAACAGAATGAATACGGGGGGGGGGAAGTATCATAAAAATGAAGTATTTCCCCCTCATTCTCTTGGTTGAAACCTATTCTTTTTGTCTTTTATCAGTTATATCTAGACTTGCAGTTGAATTTCTAAAGGGTAACAACCGACCTCTTGGCACTAAGTGCTGTATTAGATCTGGGTTGTGAGGCTTCAAAACATTTATTAGTGCCACTCTTAAGCTCGAATCTAAAGCCAGTCAGGTAAGAACTGGAAAACTAAGACACGTTTTTTTGTTTTTTTTTATTAAATCAGCCTGTACACATAGCTGTTATTATTTGAGTGAAATTATATACATGTTTTAAAGTAAATACAAAAATTAACGACAAAAGTGATTTATCGTTTCAGAGAACTGACCGCGAACCATTAAGACAGTAGGATAGCTCCTTCCTACCAGAGGGTTGCAACACTCAGGTTCAGTGTGTCACACCATTCGGTGCTTGCTACTTGAAGGTGTTAATTAAATAGTTGAGCTGAGCTTATGGCAATTTTTTTTGTGAGAATAATTTTTGACAGATATCTAGTCGTCAAGAAACATTGTATTTCTAGACATCAAAATATCTGAAACAACACCAAGGGTTATCATTTAAAAATAAATGGCATATAAAACATTATATCATTTCACATCAAAATGATCGAGAAAACACCAAGAATTTTTACTTTAAAATAAAAGGCCTATAAAACATCATACCTCTTCACATCAAAATGACCGTAGAAATGTTTGGTTTGTTTGTTTAAGCGCAAAGCTACACAATAGGCTACCCGTGCTGTGCCCACCGCGAGTATCGAAATCAGAGTTTTAGCACTATAAGCCTTTAGACTTACTGCTGAACCGGTCGGGGGGGGGCAGTCGAGGAAACACCGAAGGTTTTTATTTTAAAATATAAAGCCTGTTAATATGTTCTTAGCATAAACAGCAACGTCCTCTACACATTAAGTTGAGCTGAAAGTTAAGAATACGGAATATATTTTTCAGTTGAGATCTTGTTAGAAACCAGTTTGATTTCTGAAAGAAGGAATGCTTGATTAAAAAAACAAATAATACCTTTTCTTTTGAACATAATTTTCTTCACGTAATGCTGTTCAAAGTGGTCTAGAAGCTACATTATAATGTTCTCTAGACATACTTAATACGAATTAATAAATATCTGTATTTAGCTAACAATATTTTTTCTGGAGAATGTAAAAGTGAATGTTTATCCTCCTTGATTCATCTTTTACTTGCGTAATATTCAATTGTTCGTATAATAACTTATAACAGGGTATTTCGTAGCAATATCCATTAATTCTGAATTATAGTGGGTTACAAAAGCACTACTACTATACATCAGTAGCTATAAAACTATAAAGAGCGATCCTGTCTTGTTAGTTTTGTACTGGAGATAAAGCCTCACCTGAAATACCTTGAGAATGTGGTAGTATCCCTTCAATTCAACTCACTTCTCTCAAAGGGTCCAACAATGTGATTCAAGATCGGACATCGCATCTTGTTTTATACCAGTTTCCCCCTCCTCCTTACTATTATGTATACAACTAAAAATTGATGCCCAACCCGCTGTTCAACCAATCGCCTCATGCGAACTTTTACGTCAGTTTCTTGAGTAAAGCACACACCATCCGCCTGAAGGCGCTAAAACGCGGTCGTTAGTTCGTGAGGCTTATGACGATCTGAGCAACCAGACCAGCATTGTGAACTGGTAAAAGAAGATTGCCTCTTCTTCACGTGAATAGTCACGCCCCATATTGCTTAACCTAAAACGCAGGTAAAGTGAAAGTCGCAAGCAATCTCTACTTATGTTACGTATGGTTATATATGCCGTGAAGAAAAGCGTTGCACATTTTCTTGTTGTTCAGGGATTTCACAGAACAAGTGATACTGCCACTGATACATAGCCCTGAGATGTGTCGCCACTGTAGGAGAGCTGGCTCTGGAACCGGTTTTTATATATAAGGAAACGTACAAAGAAGTAATAAGTCATATGTAAACATTTTGTTGCAAAGATTTCAAATACATAAGTTTCTCAGCGGCGAGTCTGCAGGCTTACGAAACTAGCAGCGAGTTTCGATACCCGTGGTGGGCAAAGTACAGATAGCCCATTATGTAGCTTTGTACTTAACAACAACAAATCAACCATCTAATTTGTTAGTACATATATGTATATGTATTTGTTACTATCAATTAGGAAATACATTAAGCCTGAGAAGAGTTCATAACAATTATTGTCAAAAATATTATAATATACTGAAAAAAATTTTTTTACTGATCTATTATTATTTAGGTGAAAATACACATTATATACTGAACAGTTCCGCGTGTTGAATATTTTGCTTACTTTGGTACAAATTGGGGAAGTTTGGCATGAATAAAATTGAGTAAAGGCTTTAATATTTTTTTCCAATTTGCTTCATACAGATTATTAGAACTTAGGTTAAAAGAAAAAAAAACTGCAGTTAAAATTTGCCTAAATAAAATCACACATAATTATTAAAGTATTATGTACATTAAAGAAACAACCATTCACAGAATTTTATGCAAACAAACAATCTGCTTGTGAAATACTTCTTTCAATATCGAAGAAAAACATTAAAAAATACATATTCATTAAGAATAATATTGCAGTGCTAGCTGTAAAATCTGAACAAATTCATCAGATAAAAAAAAAACGCTGTTATTCCTAATAGTATTTTTCTGCATGAAACAACAAATAATAATATAAAGATTTCATTAAATTATTTAAAAATGTAAAAGGTTGGTTTTCAAAACATTTTCGTTTTCTCGTGTCACATTGCGGTTTCGTCTTGGTTCTAAACTTATGAAACATTACTCATCCTCATGAGCAAGTTTTTCGTATGTATAATCATCATGAACTTCTTTAGTTTATATTGTGTAAACGTAAAATAGCTTTCTGTGCTTTTATATAGTATGTTGAGGAGTGATGAAAATACCATAACACACGACACTCGAGAGAATAATATAATTCCCTTTTAACAGATGTAAATATAAGCTTACACTAGGCATAAGACATGCAAGAATTAAGGTTTTTGTGAAACCCTGTCCTTATAATATAATAAGTAGAAAATATAGATCCACGTTTCAATAAATACTTGGAACAATATAGAACCTTCCTAATTTCCATTAAAACTTCTTTAGCCCTATTATACATCTTTATAATTTTTATTAAATTAATATCTCTGTTAATAAATTTTTTTCGTGTCGGATAACAATATTTTGTGATCTCATTCTTGTTCTTTTATACACTTAAATACGAATGTATATACGCTCATTGTTAATCTTGGGTTTGCGCTTATCACATATGTCGCTTATTGAATTTATCGAGTTAAATTCCTCTATCTTTTTCATTCTCTACTTTTATATCTGTAAATCTAACAATTGAATCAAAATGCTGCTCTCTAAAAGTGGATTGCGAACTGTTGATAATAGTGACGTTAAGTTAACAACAAAAACTTGTATAACGACGGTAGTCAAAATGAATTAAGAACGAATGATGTCCGAAAACCATGCAAACTATACATATGACCATTGTACTTAACAAAAGTAATGGAAGTTTATTGTCTGAATACAGCTACAAAAAATGGGGTCAGGTTATTTCATGAGAAAGATATCATACTTAACTTGTAGGAAACAACAATGTGTATAAAGAGTTTTTAGGGCAAGT